TCAGTGTCACTCAAAGATCAATCAGATGGTTGGATTAGGTGGAAGACCCATTGCAGCAAAAGGGAAGGTGTTCATCAATGAGCCTGTACCAATCAGGGTAATTTAATGTTTTTCTTTGAGAGTTCATTTTCTGTTCTTTAGGTGGAGGAGAGAAGGACAACAAAGTCTGAAAACATTTCCTTTCTTGGAATTTATTTATTTCTTTATTTCACCAAAAGTATTCCGACAGAACTAATTAAAACATAACCACAAGAATATACGGAATCAATATATGCAAGCATTTTCTGTGTGTATGGACATGTACTGCAAACTTTCTGCCAACAAATCAGCCTGAAAATGAGTAAGAAAGTAGATGGAAACTTTTCTTACAACGAATAATATCATACTTAACATGACCAAGATCTGAATTAAAAATGAATTTCCAGCCATAAATCCTTGCAGACTTTGTAAACTATCCTGGCTCCACTCCGTACACTTTAGTCTCCCTTTGAAAGTTTTTGATTGCCTGCTCACCTCTTTTATCTCACTGTGTCTATGAAGGCACAGAAGTAGATGGCAGAGTCCTTCAACTGGATGCCTTGTTTCTGCATGTTGAAAGTCCCGTCTTTCTTGTTGTTACCTGTCTTGTGAATAGCTTGGAAGCCTTGGTAAGCCTCCCCACCAGTCTGCAAAATTAATTTGGGAGCCTGGCCATGCTGCTGAATGTACCAGAATGGGTAATTAAAAGTATCTGTTGATTGATAGGAGCAATTGAGAGAGACAGGTTCTCCTTCAGTAACAGTCACGGTGCCTGTGGTTTGCTTCAACGATTGTCCTGTGATCTGTCCTAGGGAGAAGAGATGAGGTTTCATCAAGAGATGACAAAGGGTGAAGAAATGGATGATGGAAGAATTCCCCAGGGTATTTTTTTGATACATTTCTTGAATAACCCGAAGATCCTTTCCCTCTTTTCCATCCAGACATCCCCGTCCAGTACTGATTTAATTCTTTGAGGGAAAGACCTAGAGACCCTCCCTCCCTCCCTCCCTCCCTCTCCTTTTTTCCTATCTTCCATGGCTTCTTGCCTCTCACAAAATACCTTCCCATGGTGTTTCATTTCTTCACATATAAGTAACAAGCTAATATACCACAATGCAAAGGTACCACTTCTGATTTTCTTTATGCAGAGGTGGACCATACAAATAGGGCAGATCTTCCATTCGCCCTCAGAAGACGAGGTGGCCTCTGCCAAAAAGCCCTCTTCTTTGCACCTGTCAAAGTTTTTCTAATTTCTTACCACTGTTATGGACCGTCCCCTTGAAACCACATATGGCATTTGTGCCCATGACAACACATAGCATCTCCCTTTGAATTGTGATTATTCAGTTACATTTCATAAATAGGATGCTTTTCTTTTACTCCTGTAGATTTGACTGAAATTTAGCAAATTAGAGTCTGAAAACAAAACAGAAAGGAATTAAAGAGCACGCTGCTAATACAATATGCAGATGAGCCACTTACTGAAGACTAAAAGGATGATCCAAGTATGCTCCAAAATGAAAGACATTTATCTAGTGGAAGATATTGAGATCCACCTGAAAAAACAAAAACCTAATAAAGGATGACTCCAGATCTCATTTGCTTCTGACCTTTGCTCTCTTCTCTTCACAGCACGATAAAATTAGAGGCCACAGAACTGATGTCTTCTGCCAGGTGAGTAACTTCTAAGAAGATGTTCACGGTTAAAGCATTGCAACCGGAGGATGTGGTTGAGGATTGGGACTCTGACATGCTTTAAAGAACGCTCTGTATCAAGTGTGCTTTCCCAAGAAGGCCACCTTGTGTCTGAGTGTAGCAGGGCACCTTCAGATATTCCAAAGCAATTTGGTTTGAAGGGTAAAACCCTAAATGTAAAGATGATGCCTGATGGATAGCTCCCTGTTTTAGGATGACGAAGAGCATAGCCCAAATTGTTTGTGAGTGAAATGCAATGGATTTTCTGATAACACATGAATAGAACAGAAAATGACATGGATGGGAAAGATTTATCAGAAGACATAAAGCTTGAGGGGCCTTGTCAGAAGAATCACTTGAGAACAGAGAGAAATTAACTTTCTGTTTAGCCTAAATATTATACCACAAACAATCTTCCTTAGAATATGAAGTTTGCCACTCATCCTTAAAATTCACCTGTAAGCTAACCTTCTCAAGAAATTCATTACTTAGTCTTTGGGAAGCTGAACCCTAAGCCTAACATCAAGGGCGATATCCTCACTATATTTGTATAGGAGCAGCCCACATCCTGTTACTTCATGGAATCTAGGCAGTCTTTACTCGCAGGCAGAAAAAAATATCAGAAAGTGGAGAACTCTTTCCACTGATTTGTGTGCTCACAACGGATCACCATCATTCCTTGCCATA